GGGGGCGGCGCTGTGTGTTGGTGTGTGCGCGAGCATGTGTGGTGCGAGTGGGGGTTGGCGTTGGGCGACCCTGGAGTGGGTAGGTGGTGGTGGCACGCTGGATGGGGGGGGACACTGCCCGAATGCCACCCGCTCCTCACATCGCGCCCCCCAACCCCCACCCCCACATCCACCAGGCCGTCAACGTGGTCATCAATTTTGACTTCCCCAAGAACAGCGAGACGTACCTGCACCGCGTGGGGCGCTCTGGCCGCTTTGGCCACCTGGGCATCGCCATCAACCTCATCACCTACGAGGACCGCTTCAACCTGTGAGCGCCGCGCGCCGGGCAGCCGCATGATGACAACATGGCGCACCTGCCTGCGCCAGCCTGCCTGCAGCGGCTGCTGGCCTGCCGCATGGACGATGGGAGGGAAGCAGATGGGGCAGCCAACCTGAACTTGCCTGGCCCCCGCCCCCCCTGCCCCGCTGCTGCAGGTACAAGATTGAGCAGGAGCTGGGCACCGAGATCAAGCCCATCCCGCCTGTCATCGAGAAGGGCCTGTACTGCGCATAGGCGGTACAGGCGCCTCGCGCGCGCCGCGCGCCGTGCCCCGCTGCGCCTTTGCCCGGCCGCGAGGGTGCGGTTGCACGCGCGTGGGCGGGCTGGCTGAGGCTGCCCCGTGCGCTCGCCCGCCTGCCGCCCAATCCCCGCTTTGCCCGCGGGGCAGGCGGCAGTGGGCGCTCCAACTCCCACGGCGGCCCCGGCCACGGCCCTCACCAGGCGCCCCTGCCCAGGCGCCCCCTACTATTCCCTCTGGCCCCCTTCACCGGCACGCTCCGCAGTCGCGCATGCCTGCTGGCACCCTTCGCCTCCAGACCCCCCTTGCATGCACAACAGCACAGAACTTGTATCACTGCCGGCAGCCCCCCGTGGCGGCGCGTCTCAGCCTCCCACCCAACGTTGCGCCGCGCCCACCATGTGCCTCTGGCCCCTCCCGTCTCGTGTGCGCGGGGCCTCCCCCTTGCCTCGGCCCCTTTCTCCCGTAGCCCAGGCCCTATCCACCTCGCCCTTGCTTTGCCTCCTAGGTAGCCTAACACTCCCGCCCCCCTTCTGCTCTACTTCTGGCTTGCGCTCTCCACACGCGGTGAGCCCCAACCCACCTTTTTCCCCTGCCCTCCCCCCCTCCCTCTCCCGAGCGGTCAGTGAGTGTACCAAACTTGAGTGTTGACAGCTTCCTTTCTTCTTCGCTGGTTCAGACCCTACTGACGCTTGCGCCCCCCCTTACTGCGCGACCCCCTTCAAGTCCCCGATGTGGGTGCATGCCCCCCCGCCGTCGCGCGGCTGCGCATGCGTGTACTGCTTGCCTTCCCCACCCTGCCACACCCTGCCACACCCTGCGTCCCATGCCAGCGGAGGGCCCCCCACCCCGACACGCAGCCAGCTCGCTCTCCCATCCTGCCGGCATCTCCCCCCGGGGATCCCACCCTTTGCATGACCCAATCCTTGTCCCGCCGCCCCGGCCGCCCCCCCCCCCCCCCCAAAAACTG